AACAATATCATTAACATCACATGCAAGTAAAATTCTGCTGAAGATGATTCAAAAGCAGTTGCAACAGTACATTGACGGGGAACTGCCAGAAATTCAAGCTGGATTGAGAAGAGGACGTGGAACCAGGGATATCATTGCTGATATCAGATGGATCCTAGCTGAAAGCAGGGAATACCAGAAAGGATGTTTACCTGTGTTTTATTGACTATGCAAAGACATTAAACTGTGTGGATCATATCAGATTATGGATTAACATTAAGAATGGGAATTCCAGAACACTTGATTGTGCTCATGAGGAACCTGTACTTTCACCAACAGGCAGTTGTTTGAAAAGAACAAGGGGATACCATGTGGTTTAAAGAAAAGAAAGGTGTGCATCAAGGTTATATCCTTTCACCATACGTATTCAATCTGTATGCTGACCAAATAATCCGAGAAGCTGGACTATATGAAGAAAAACGGGGCATCAGGATTGGAGGAAGACTAACAACCTGCAATATGGTGATGACACAACCCTGCTTGCTGAAAAGTAAATGGGACTTGAAGCACGCATTGATGAAGATAAAAGACCACAGCCTTAAGTATGGATTACACTTCAACATAAAGCAAACAAAAATCCACACAACTGGACGAATAAACAACATCATGATAAACAGAGACAAGATAGAATTTATCAAGGATTTCAGTTTACTTGGACCCACAATCAGCATCCATGAAACCAGCAGTAAAGAAATCAAACAACTCATTGCACTGGGCAGATCTGCTGCACAAGACCTCTTTAAAGTGTTCATAATCAAAGATGTCGCTTTGAGGACTACCATGTGCCTGATCCAAGCCATGGTGTTTTCAACGACCTCATATGCATATGAAAGCTGTACAATGAATAAAGAAGACCGAAAAATGGATGTATTTGAATTATGGTGTTAGTGAAAAATACTGAATATACCATAAACTGCCAAAAGAAAGAAAAAGTGTGTCTTAGAAGAAGTATATTCAGAGTGCTCCTTGGAAGTAAGAATAGCAAGACTTCATCTCATGTACTTCTGGACATGTAATCAGGAGGGACCAGTCCCTGGAGAAGGTAAGAGGTAGTAAGTCAGAGGGTCGGCGAAAAAGAGGAAGACCCTTGTTGAGATGGATTGACACACGGGTTGTAACAATGGGCTCGAACACAGCAACCACTGTCAGGATGGCACAGGGCTGGGCAGTGTTTTGTTGTTTTACATAGGGTTGCTATGAGTCGGAA